ATCTAAGAGCTGTTTATGAGAGTTTAAAGTAATCCAATGCAATTCTGAATACAAAACAATATTCAAATTTCATTTCTCTTTCCTTTCCTCAGGAAACAATATTTTTTGACTGAGAAGGAGTAATGTTGGAACATGGTGGGGGTCTTTGAACCGCTAGGGTACGATATGAAGGCAAAGAATAGCAAATACTAGGGCTGGTCAATTAGCTCACTTGGTTAGAGCACGGTGCTGATAACACTAAGGTCAAGGGTTCTGATCCCCTTACTGGCCAGCCCCCAAAACAAAAAAAAAAGCAAATACCAGGGTAGAGGAGGAAACTGGGACAAGGAAACCTAGTGCAGATATGCTACTTGCTGCACACTGTCATGCTTTAAAACTCTTCCTGCTTAGTCCAATCTCCCCAATCTAGGTTTGTCCAGTCTTGGACAGACAAGCCTCACCTGTTACTACCCCTTTCCAAGGAGGAAGTAAAAAATATGCATGAAAAAAGTGGGGAAGAGCAAACAACCGACAACGTATGCTCCCGGTGCCTTCCTTCCTCTGGGATCTCTTCCCCTTTCCTCTCCATCCTTTATTGTTCCTGCACTAAGTACCTTTCCTAGAAATAGCAGTCCCTATGAGTGAATGATCTGTACAAAAATTTAACTTAAACTATCAAATTCCAAGCTCCAAGATTCTAGAAAGGTGCACGTTTAACTGTTTCAATGTTTTCTTTGAACATGCACATTTCATCAGGTAAAGAAACCTTTGGAATTTTATCTTAAAACCACTTAAGGACATACTCAAAAGTTTTGAGTACCAAACAAAGCCACCTGTCCATCACACATCCTGTTCACAAAAGCGTCCCAGAAACTTGATATAAACAAAATCCCTCTGTCTATTTCGAGGAGATAATACTGTGGTTTTCTGTATCCAACAGTATGCCTTACATACCCAAGGCAATTATGGTTTTTCTTCCTCTACTCAAAGCATCTGTTGCTAACATAACACTGAAGTCCAAGTTATTTTCACAGACAAAAAAGCAGCTGGTCAAGCTAATCCATTTGTTGACTAGCCACCACCAAGCTTCTGTAAGACTGTCCAGTTATCTTAACCTCTTGTCAGATTACATGAGTCAGAACTTCCAATCCTCTTTCAATTACGATTTAACAATTCTTTGGCACCACCATTTGAAATCCTTTTTTTACAGATATAAAAGTAGAAAACATACTATAAAGGTGAAAATGTCTAGACTGGGTTAGAAAAGTAGAAAGTTATTTTGAAGTTGGGGTTATGAAATTAATAATAGCTGACAGTCCTTATGTATGCACAGCACTGTTAAGTGGTTTTTAAAAATGAATACAATCCTCCCAATAACCCTCTGAGGTAATTGTTATCTCTATTTTATAGATGAAAAAATGGAGACAAAGAGCAAATTACCCAAACTCACACAGTTCATAAATAGTAAGGACTGGAGATCTTGCTCCAGAGTCATCCTTAATAATTTTAAGCCAAATCCCAAAGCCTACAAACAGGCATATATTCAGGCCATCTTCACCACTTGCAGTACCTATTTTCCTTACACTTACTGAGGTATTACCCCTGCTATTATTTTCAATGTAGCATTCTATAACAGGAAATAATCTCTAAAACTCATGCCCCTGGTGTACTACCGTCTTATTTAAAGATAAATAATTCAGTTTAGTTCTTACTATTTGAGTCATGTAATTGATTCCACAGTAATTCATGTGAGAAAAGGAAGCTCAAATTCAGAGCACTAAACTGGTTATGAGCATTAACGCCAGATACTCTTTTTAAACTATAAATTTTTTTTTCATTAGAAAGATTATGAGGGACTGGCGGGTTAGTTCAGTTGGTTAGAGCATGGTGTTTATAACGCCTAGGTCCAGGGTATAATCCCTGTACCTGCCAGCCACCAAAAAACAAAAAATAAACAAACAATTATCTGATACCACCAATAATTTTCAACATATTTTGTAAAATTGAGAAGTTGATTCTCAAAGTTATCACAAAAAAGATATATTAGTACCAATAAGGAAAATGTGGTATATATACACAATACTACTCTGCCATAAAATGGAATGAAATTCTGCCATTTACAGCAACATGGATAACTTAGAGAAAATTATGTTAAGTGAAATAAGCCAGACTTGGAAAGAGAAATACTGCATGTCCTCACTCCTAAGTGGGAGCTAAAAAAAGAAAGAAAGAAAGATACATCACAATAATTCGCTGAACTTTCAAAAGAAGAGAGAAGAACTGTAGTTACTGGAGGTGAGATAGGGGAGGGGAAAGAAAATTACTGAGAAACTGGTAAAGAGTCACAAAGAATGATTACATTTTGTAATGATGAAGATAATAATTATCCTGATTTGATCACATATGGTACATAGGTATTGATATTCAACCCTGTACCCCACAATTATGTTTCAATTTTTTAAAAAAGGAAAAAAGGGAACAACTAATTCTTTGCTACCTCTAGAGAAACCACACATCAAGTACTCAAATATAATGTCATTTGAAATGAGAACAAATAGGTTCAAGTCTTAGCCTTATGGTCAGAAGCATGACCCTGCAAAAGTCATAATCTCCAGCTCTTGATTTCTTATCAAAGTGAGGGATAATGAATGCATCCCTAACAAAATAAGATGATCCAATATTAAAATACTTTTTGTATTTTACAGAACATTATTTTTGTAAGCTTTAAAATACTACACGTGATTTCACAGCATTTTATCAATTTTTGCAACAACACTATAAAATAGTCTTACTTCGACTGCATAGATGAGGAAATAAATTAGTCACATTTAAGCGATTTGCTCCATATCACCGAGTTAGCAAAGAGCACCCAGGAACCCAAGTCTCTGGACTCCAAGTCTTTGCTCTCCCATTTGACTTCTGCCAATGTCCATTCAGATATCACATGACCTTTATCTAATAAGCTGTGAGATGTTTTACAAATTTATGCAGATAATGTTTTAAACATATACATATTCGAGACACAAAATGTAAATTTTTAAAAAGTCTTAGTAACAGTCATGGAAATAAAAATTGAAACCCAACTGAGTTTCAAGATGAATGCATACAATGAAACCATGTGCACTTTTGTTAAATAATAGAATAGTCAACACTTAACACATCACTATTCTCTCATGCCCCCAGCACTTCTCAAGATGAATCCAGGCAAAATTATAGAAAACGTTGTTCTAGTAAGTCTTTCCAATGCTTCCTCTTTAATGATAGAAAAGAATGGCCTATTAGATAAGCCCTTGTTTTTCCCTGCTACATTAATAACGCTTGTTTTTCTTTCCTATCCTGTACTATATTTCAGTTACACTATAATCTAAGAAAAGAACAGAGTGGTTGATTTCTATATAGGGATTATGACTGAATATTAACAATCCACTTCTAACTGTATTCAAGACATTGGCTATGTTCTCTAAATATTTTTTCTTAACTGAAAAGGCTACTCTGTACATCTTTTCCTCAAGTATAAGACCTTTCACAACGACCACTAGGTAACTGTAACCAGCAACACCAACTGGTCAAAGAGGGTGGGACCGCTGCCCCGACAACTCTTTTCCCTCAGTTCAACAAACACTAAAACCTGCTTAGGAACAAGTCACGGGAATGGGAGGGGAGAGGCGTACAAGGTAGATTTGGTCCCTGACCTAAAGAGCACGTATTGTGCCAACAGAGGAAACTTGGTCGAGCAAGAGGAAAGAGCACCAGCCTCAGCGGCAGCATGGAAACCCCAAACAAGGCTGTACCTTGGTTTCCCCATCTGCTGAGGATAGATACACCCTCTCCAGCACGCTGGTAGGTTGCGGGAATCAAAGGGAACCTAGATCGCTGCATAAGTGATTGATTAAAAAAGGGGATGACTCCCTATTTCTCTTCAGGAGTCAGGACCCAGAACAAAGTGCAGGGCAGAGGCCAGCTCGGATCACCTGGCGCGGCTCCCGCACCTCTGCGGGCGCCCCTTCGCTCCCGTTGGGGAAAGTGGCCAGGCGGCCGTACCCTCAGCCACCGCAGGCCGGAGGGCCAGCCGGGCGCGCCAACCCGGCCAGCTCGGCCTACGCGCCCACCGCCCACCCGGCCCGGAGCGCCCCGCCCACCCTCCGCCG